CAAGGAAAATCACCGGGACCGGGACCGGTTATGTCGGGACCGGTTACCGCCGGTTTTTGTCGCGATTAGGCCCGGTAGGGACCGGTTAAGGCCCGGTCCGGGACCGAATTTTGGCCACCTCTACTCCCAAATCCCAATTATATATATTTGTTGGGCTGTTGGGCCTCATCTTACAGAACTCAAAACATCAGACACTTGGGCTTTACGAAATGGGCTTGATTTATAGATGTGGGCTATTTTGAGTGTTTTTACTACAAATTTAGAGGAATTGGAATCATGTGTAACAAGTCTGTTTTCGTGAGACACGATTTTTACATTTGAAAATTCATAACAAAATACTGTGAAGATAACCTTCACAGTATTTTTGCTGTGAATATTCATCTTTTTTTTTTTACCTTCACAGCAATTTGTTGTGAAGTTTCAAGTGTAAAAATCGTGTCTCACGAAAACAACATGTCTCACGTGAACCCAACCCAATTTATAGGGATTATAATTGCGTAGATATGACGCTTATTACAACATCTTTAGATATGATGCTTTATATTTTGGTCATATAAATTAAGTCCTACAAAGCGGTCTATTGGGACGCTTAGAGATTAAAGGTGTCCTATAAACCCAATTTTGTTGTAGTGTATATTTAAAAGATTTCAATTGACTCCAAGTATTTCAAAATCCGGACAATCCAAGAAAACCAAACATGGGATTGGAACTGATTTGAAATGTAAATCCCCCCCAAATCCATTCTATTCATTCAAACCAGACAGGAACTAAGAATTTCAAAATTCTATGTTTGTAGGATTTCATTTAAATTCTAAGATTTCAAATCTGGACAATCCAACAAACCAAACATGAGATTGAAATGAATTTAAACTCCAAATCCTCCGAATTCCATTCCAATCCTGCAAACCGAACGAGATCTAAATATATCGCTTATGAAATAAATGATGTTTATCGAGATTAGAGATGGCCAAATCGGCCCGGCCCGGGACCAGGACCGGTAAGGACCGGTTATGGGACCGAAAACCGGGATTGGTTGAGGTTTTTGGTAGTTTCGTGGGACCGGGACCGGTTATGGGACCGACTATGGACCGGCCCGGCCCGAAAAATTCAAATAATTTTATAAATAAATGTATTTTTAAATAATTTTCTAATGTATTTTTATAAAAAAACGTAATTTTAATTATATTAAAACGCATTTTAAAGTGTATTTGAGTGACCCAATTGTAAATTTTATAATGTATTAAAAATATATATCATTAAAAAAATAAAAAAAATCTTATTTTTTAATGCAAAGACCGGTTGGGACCGGGACCTGCAGCCCATAACTGGTTATGAAGTACCTTGACCGGTCCTATCATTTTCAACCGAGACCGGGACCGGGCCAGTTATGGCCGGTTATGAGAAAGGTTAGGACCGATTGGGACTAGCCCGGCTCGATCCGGGACCGGTTTTTGGCCATCTCTAATCGAGATTTAAAAATATACAATTACTTTTTTACAGTAATATGTAACTTTCTTTGATATAGAAGGGGGAGACCACTCCAATCAGTTTTATTACGGAATTAAACGAATTTGAAATTCTGGCTATTTTATCCATAACAATAAATGAACAATGTGGTTTATGTAAGCAACACATCCATGCGACTTTCTTTTATACCATCAATGAATATTCATTATAATTTATTATAATAAATATATAAGAACTAAAAGATATATGAAATATAGTATAAGAACAGGTTCAAACGAGAAGCTAAACATTTTATGAGAAGATGAAAAATTTCAATATCATATATGATTAAACACATATACATCATTCATATATGATTAAACACATCCAAATGAGTGTAATCATAGATGGTATTGAAACTTTTCGTCTTCTTGCAAAATGTTTAACTTCTCGCATGATCATTTCTCACAGAATATATATATTTTATTATATTATATCCAGATTTAAACAAGAACAATGATCATATAAGAAAACATAAGAATGATCAAATCACATATAGTTTTACATTAAAGTCATGTGTAAAATCACATGTGATTATAAGCTATTTGGCTACGACATAAGCACGTTGGCCAAATAGCTTTTATACCCTTATTTTGAACATGTTTTTTAATCATATAATTAAACATGATTTCAATACAAAATCACATATGATAACGTACGTTTTCGTATTTAATTATTTAATCAAAATCATTTCCTTCAGAAATAGAAAAATACTTCATAATGAAGGAGTTGTATTGGAAATAGACACCTCGTGGGATTCTGAAAAACTTCATGAAGATAATATTTTTTATTAACTTGTATATCAAATCTATTATGTGATTTCCGACTAATTCTAGTGTGACCATTCGTTTTCTGGGTAGTCCGGAGTCACAACATTTGAACCTTCATGACTATAAGAAGATTTTTATTTTCATTTAGATTTGAACCTAGGATGTCCAGACACTTTCGACCTTTGGAGCACAAACTCAAACCAATCGGACATCACCCTTGTGGTTGAAGATAATGCCTTTTGTTTTTATAGTTTTATATTTTTACAAGATAGCCATCGTTTGTTTCTAGAAACATCCGGATCTGCTCTCTTTCTTTAACAATTGTTAAAAGACTACGTTAAATGAGAGACATTTTCGTTTTTATATCAATTTTTTTTATCTTTAACCCTATTAAAATTGATTATATTATTTGGTTCTTGTAGTTTTTGATTAGGTAAAAGACAAAAAAATCGATAAAAAGGATGAAAATGTCTATGATTTAACCCAATTTTTTAATAACCGTTAAGTGACAGAGATCAAATCCATAAGTATTTATAAATCATGATGGTCATCTTGTAATTTTAAAACTAAATAGACGAAAAGTGTTATTTTTTGACAAACCAATAATTTACTCTAAATATAATGTTTAATTTTGCAAATGCAATTTGCATATTAAATATAAAAAAAAATACTAATCAACATTACAAATATTTTGTGACGATTATTAACGAGTGTGGTTGACCACCGATGCAAGGACACCAAACGTACATGTCAGAAAACCAATTCGCTTTCATGTCAGGAACGTTGACAACAGAGGTAATTCATGTCCTCAAACGCCTTACGGACCACTATAGAAAGCAGAGTAAAGACCTGCCCATGATATTTCAGGGTAATACAAGATATGTACGGGCGCTCGAGTACTTGCATCATAACGCTAATGGGTGATACCAAGTTTTTCCAAGTCGAGATAAGGGTACACCAAGATCGACACTAAGCCGTTTCTTTTAGTTGTGACTTCGGAAGAGATACGACAGAGTGTCTCATGGTGTATGTTATTCGTTGACAACATTGCATTGATGACAGAGTCGAGGATAGAAATGAACTAGAGATTGGAACAATGAATGACGACGGTAAAATAGGGATGGGGAAGTATAATGTGCACAAACCTAAGTTCTACCCTAACCCTGTGTTCTCGAGTCACGATAAGGTGGCAAATTTTTTCTGGGTGTGATTATGACGAGAAACAGGGACGGACCCAAAAATTTTTGGATACGGTAGCATCATATAAAAGGGTTGCACCTTTTACGAACCTAATTTTTTTTACTTTACCACGGAGGAACAATACGGTGGCACGTGCCACCTAACCACCCCTCTAGGTCCATCTATGATGAGAAATATGTATATCTTATATATAATTATATATATACATATGTTTTATATCATCATTGAATGAGTTAATGATATTAAACAATTTAAATTAGGTTACATATATTAAAGTAAAAGTAAAAAGTAAGACGCTAAAATGGTAAGAGAAAACAAATACCACGTTATGAAAATCGCGTATTTGGCAACGACGTACTACAAAGTTAACGTGACATGATAACCATGACAAATAGGGGTGCTCAAAAACCCTATCTACCCAACGTGAAATAACTCAACTCAAAGCAACCCGATGTCTAATTGAGTTGTAAAATTTTCAAACTGTAGGTATTGAGTTGGTATTGAGTTATTATTATTTGAATCCAATCCAACCCCATGAACCTGATATCCTTTTATTTCTTGGATTTAATATGATTGTTGAATTTCTATTAAAATATACATTAGACAATTACATTATCACGTACACTATTCATATACACATATTTTTAATCTATTCATATATCTATATAACTCATTTGTATATATGTTCAGTAACTATAAACACATATACGTAAATTTAGAAAATTAACTGAATATGATATATGTAAGAAGTATGGACAAGTTTGTATCAAATGGTTGACGATGAAAAAAGAAATTATGAGTAGATAAATAACATATTCAAGGTTAGAAGATTTTTTTTAATATACCAAAGTATCAACCCGACCAACCCACACGGTTTGGGTTGGGTTGGTTGGGTTAAATTTTTTCAAATGACAAGTATTAACTTGAGTTGTTCAAATATCTTCAACTCGATCAACCCAATCCATGGGCATCCTATTTTTTTATTTTTATAACAGTTTACATCCCTACACATATCATAAATAAATTGAAGTCTCGGGAAGACAAGTTTTCCCAAATTAGACGATCGAAACCGCAAATGGCCGGCGATAAGCAAATAGCCGTCGTCGGTGCCGGAATAAGTGGCCTTCTTGCTTGCAAACACCTGATGGAGAAAGGTTTCCGGCCGGTGGTTTTTGAATCCCGGAGCTGCGTCGGCGGTGTGTGGGCCTTCCAAACCGTTGAATCCACCAAACTACAGACTCCTAAAACTTACTACCAGTTCTCGGATTTTGCATGGCCACCTTCCGTCACGGCGGCTTTCCCCGATCATAATCAGGTGTGGCAGTACATTTACTCCTATTCTGTGTACTTCAATCTCATCCCTGCGATTAAGTTTAATCATAAGGTGGTGGCCATCGATTACTCTCTACCGTTGGATGATGAGAAGATCTGTGGGTGGGATGAGTGGGGTGGCAACGGTGGGCCTTTCTCCGTTGAAGGGAAATGGAAGATGCTTGTACAACACACCGTCTATCCATTAGAAGCACCAAAGGTATAAGGCTAATTTGGTAATTTTGGTCCATGTTTTAAAAATAGGTTTTTTGTGTTCACTACAACAAAATCGGTTTTTCAGAACACTCCTAAATACTAAATGTCCTAATAGACCTCTTTATAGGACTTTAATATAAAACGTTCCATTATCAACTTATAAAACACTATTTAAAAACGTTCCATTATCAACTTATAAAACACTATTTAAAAAACTGTCCTATAAAAACAAATGTCATATAAAAAGTTGATGATGAGATGCTTTATATTAGAAGTGTCCTCAAAAACTTATTACGACGTCAAAAAATGTAATATAAACTTATTAGAACACCTTTAGATAGGACACTTTATTTTTTTGGTTCTACAAACTAAGTCCTATAAAGAGGTCTATTAAGACACTTAATTAGGATTTGAGAGTGTCCTATAAAACCGATTTTGTTACAGTGACTTCCTAATATTTTTTTAATAAATTTAATCGAAAAAATTAGTAAACAAACATGAATTTTGAAAGTCTATTAAATTTTTATAAAATATATGAATTAATTTATTAAATAATTAAATGATCATGTTAATAAAAGATTCTATAAGAAAAATTGCTACGTGTACCATTTTTATGTCAGAATCAGATCAAATATTCATATATTAAGAATGTAAAAACTAAAAAATAAGTCATAATATTAATGTGTGTGAGATGTCAATTAGTAGGTTATGCATTTAGTCCACCTTTTTTATAATGGACAAATAGCATGAAAAAGTAACGTACTTTAATTTGATTCTTATTTTGAGTAACGTATTTTCAGAACTTCCATTTTAGTACCTAAGATGTAAAGTTTTTAAACATTTAAGTATCCGGGTAATAGGTTGAAGCATTAACTGGTTACCATGCTAACGTGACAAGTGATGAGATGAAATTGGGTTGAATTGTAAATAATACTGAGTTGGATACCACATCACTCGCCACATCAACATAGTAACCGGTTAATTTAACACTATCATTTACTTACCGGATAAGATTTTAGTCCACTAAAATGGTATCATATGCAACAATTTATCTGGTAAACGTTTGTCGTGGTAAGAGTCGTCATCCTCACTTACCTGGTAAGACTCTTGGTCCTTGTCCCGTTTTTACCGGGTAAGATTACTGGTTCTTACCATATTCATCTGTTAAGGTAATGTGACTTGATGTTCACTTACCTAAGTAAGCGTTTGGTAAATGGCCCCTTAGTTTTATTGAGTTAGTTTTATTAATTTAATTTGTGTTCACAAGCTATACCAGATCTCGTGGATTTAAAGTGTTTTTACAATGTGTTCACAAACTATAATAATATATTTAAAGTGTGTGCTATGAAGAGAGAAAAGTGAGAAAATATCTGAATCGTTAAGAGGTGAATTTTTGTTAATAGTTTGACAAAAAAAGTCTGTCTCTTAATGTTTCTAAAACCATCTGAATGATTTTGTATCTTGTGCCTACCTTAACCATTCAGCACCCTAAATTTATTATAAACAATTACCAAACAATTATGTTTCATTTTTCACTATATCATGAGAGTCTTTTAATCATTCTGCATCAAACAATTCAGCAACTGTCAAACAGCTCTTAGTTGAGTATGGTCTTTGTTAATCCGTTCCAAAGTAATGGATTTTTTTTTTGTCGTTTAATAGGTTTTCGAAGTTGATTTTGTGATATTATGCAACGGAAACTATAGCGACTTCCCTAACGTGCCACAATTTCCGATTGATAAAGGGCCAAAAGTGTTCGATGGTGTGGCTATACACTCCATGGATTATGCAACGATGACCACGATTGATGCTGCTGAATTCATCAAGGGGAAGAGGGTTACGGTTGTTGGCTTCCAGAAGTCCGCAATCGACATTGCGGTCGAAGTTGCTAAAACAAATGGTATGCTCTGAGATCAATCTTTCTTGAAATCGACTAGAAACTTACGCTGTGTTCTTGAAACATTTTTTATGAAAGAAAAGAAAAAGCGGGAAAACAAAAAACCACGTGTTCTCGAGAATTTTTAGAAGGAAAAAGAAAGGAAATACGAAGATTCGGGAACATAGCGAGATTTCTAAGCGTCCTAATAGACCTTTTTATAAGACTTAGTTTATAGGACCAGAAAAATAAAACGTCTTATCTAAAGGCGTTGTAATAAGTTTATATGATGTTTTTTTGACGTCGTAATAAGTTTTTTATGACATTTTTAATATAAATTGTCTCATTATTAACTTTATAGGACACTATTTGAAAAACTGTCCTATAAAAACAAATGTCCTATAAAAAATTGAGTTTATATGACATTTTCTCAAAAATGTCCTATAAAGTTGCTAATACGATGCTTTCTATTAAAAATGTCCTAAAAAACTTGTTAAGATGCCTAAAAGCGTTATATAAACTTATTACAACGCCTTTAGATATGAAGCTTTATATTTTAGTCCTATATATTAAGTATTATAAAGTAGTCTATTGGGACACTTAAAGATTGGAGACGTCCTACAAACTCAATTTTGTTGCAGTGGCCACTCTATCTGATAGTATGTCATTGATTTCTAGAAGTGGAAAAACCCTTTTTGATTGCGTAAAAATTGATAGGAGTTCGACATCCGTGTACAATGGTGTTCAAGACAGTGCATTGGACGGTCCCCGAACATCTAAATGAACTCAGCTTTCGAAACTTGAACCGGTTTTCAGAGTTGATGATCCATAAGCCTCGTGAAGGCTTCTTCCTTTGGCTCTTGGCTATTCTTCTCTATCCCTTGGTAACCTCTTCTTCTTTCCGTCAATTTTTCGAACTCATTGTGAATTAAGCCGATATCATGTAAAAATTACTCTGATTTACTAAAAACTGTTAGAATTCAAACTTATTAACACATTTATAGTAATTTTTCGAACAAAACCTGCATCAGAGACATAATACAATTGGACTAGATCAGCAATAGTGGAGGGGCCTAAAAGAATTTTGTACTTAAAACTTTAATGGACTGAAAATGCTTAACTCTATCAGGAAAAAAGCCCAGGGGCTAAGGCCCCTATGACCATCCGCCCCTGACCTGCATGTAAGTTTATAGGGGTCGGTTCAAATCAAAAGGCTAGATATCGTAATTAAGTAAGAAGAGAACGTTTAGTGAAGGTTCATATTTGAATCTACTAAAAAAATCTATTTGAAGACGTGCGTATGAACTGACGCTACAGGTTGTTTTATATGGGTTCACATATGCATCTTCACGTTGAGTTTTTCAATGAGTCAGGTATATATGAACTTTCAATCTTATCTTCTCACGATATTTAGCCTTCTTATTTGACCTTTCCGCTTAGTTTATACTATGATATTTCGGTTAACATTGATAAGAAATCTCGACTCTTTAACCAAACTGAATTAGAATACATGATCTAAGGGGTTGTTCGGTTTGTTTACTTTTAAATCCTATAACTGGTTGTGTGGATTAATCTGTATAGGTTAGGAGGGTTTTTTCATATATGAAAAGAGCGTGTCTTTTAATTGGGAAATACATATCTAGGAAAAACTTGGATTTCTTCATAAAGCTCCCATAGAAGCTTACGAAAAAAATCACCTTCTATATCATTAAGCCACTACCAAACAGTTATATATAGCTGGCCGAATAGTTGTGAGTCTTATTAAGCTCATTAAGTTGTGTGTCTTATTAAGTTGTTAACAAAAGACACCCTAAATCTTGTTCTTCTTGTATCAAATGGATACAAGTATTAACTTATATACATTATCTTTATGCTATATGGGGTTGTTTGTTTACCTCTTAATAGTTCTATTAAGAGGTAACCTCTGAATCGTTAAGGGGTGAATCTTGTTTGACAAAAAAAAAAAGTCCGCATTTTAATGGTTCTAAAACTCTCTGAATGATTTTTGTATCATGGGTCTCCCTTAACCATTAAGAGCCTCAATTTAATTGTAAACAATTACCAAACAATTATATTTTATTTTGCACTATTTCATGAGAGTCTCTTAATCATTCTGACTACTTAATCATTCTGCACTAAACCATTAAGCAACTGCCAAACCATCTTATTTGATCCAATTTCAGATATGGATATACTCAACTTTGATACAAACCTATCTTAAATGGATATATCCATTGAAGAAACACAACATGATCCCAAAACATGGCTTCATAACACAACTTGCTTCATGTATGCTGCCTGTTTTACCTCCTAACTTCTATGAAAGAGTTGAAGAAGGAAGCATAGTTTTGAAGAACTCGCAAAGCTTTCATTTCTCGCGAAACGGTATCGTTCTTGATGACGACCCGCTACCTATAGAAACGGATATCGTCATCTTTGCTACTGGTTTTAGACCCGATGAAAAGATCGCTAAGATCTTCAAATCGACGTTCTTTCAAGGTTGTATATTCGGATCCTCGACACCCTTTTACAGGTACGTTTTTATTCCATTTAGTTAATTACTCGGAAATTTGCGACAATTATTTTTGTCACTTCAACAAAATTGGGTTTATATGACACTCTCAATTTTTAAGCGTCCTAATAAACCTTTTTATATGACTTAATTTATACGACCAGAAAAAAATAAAGTGTTCTATCTAAAGGTGTTGTAATAAGTTTATATGACGTTTTTTTTATGTCGTAATAAGTTTTTTAGGACACTTTTAATATAAATCGTCTCATTAGCAACTTTATAGGGCATTTTTAATATAAAGCGTCTCATTAGCAACTTTATAGGACACTTTTAATATAAAGCGTCCTATTAGCAACTTTATATGACACTTTTAATATAAAGTGTCCCATTAGCAACTTTATATGACACTATTTGAAAATATGTCCTATAAAAACAAGTGTCCTATAAAAAAATGAGTTTATAGGAAACTCTCAAAAGTATTCTATAAAGTTGTTAATGTGACACTTTGTATTAAAAAAGGTCCTAAAAAACTTGTTAAGACGTCTAAAAGCGTCATATAAACTTGTTACAACACCTTTAAATAGAACGTTTTATATTTTTGTCATATAAAACGGTCTATTGGGCTGCTTAGAGATTGGGGGTATCCTATAATTAAACCCAATTTTGTTGTAGTATTTTGTCACTACAACAAAATTAGGTTTATAGGACACTCTCAATTTTTAAGCGTCCTAATAAACATTTTTATAGGACTTCATTTATAGAACGAAAAAAAATTAAGTGTCATATCTAAAGATGTTGTAATAAGTTTATATGATGTTTTTTGATGTCGTAATAAGTTTTTTAGGACATTTTTAATATAAAACGTCTCATTAGAAACTTTATAGGACACTATTTGAAAAACTGTCCTATAAAAACAAACGTCCTATAAAAAATTGAGTTTATAGAACACTTTCTCAAAAGTGTCCTATAAAGTTGTTAATGCGACACTCTGTATTAAAAAGGTCCTAAAAAACTTGTTAAGACGTCTAAAAGCGTCATATAAACTTATTACAACACCTTTAGATATGACGCTTTATATTTTGGTCTTATAAAACAGTCTATTAGGACGCTTAGAGATTGGGGGTGTCCTATAAACTCAATTTTGTTGTAGTGTGTTATGATAATTTAACAAATATATTGGCAAAATTTAACAGATAAATCACGATTATAATTATATACAGGGAGTGCATACATCCTCGGATCCCACAAGTAGCGATACTCGGGTATTCAGAGAGTCCAGCGAACTTGTTCGCAACCGAGATGAGAAGCAAATGGTTGGCTCATTTCATGGCTGGTAACATGAAGCTGCCCACCATATCAGCCATGGAAGAAGACACCATCAAATGGGAGATGTGCATGAGACAATATGCCTTCAAATCGTACAAGCGAGCTTGCATCGGTCTCTTGTTGCAAATCCATTCAAACGATTTGTTGTGCAACGACATGGGCTGCAACCCAAGGAGGAAGTCGTGGTTCCTACCCGAGCTCTTCGCACCCTATGTTCCACCCGACTATGCCAACCTTTGAATATGACAGGCTTGTACCAGAATAAACTCCGGAAAATAAGATCAAGACTTAAACATTGATTTGATCTCATCACCAAAGGACACTTCGATCTCAAACGGTGAGCTCAAGTGTTCAACGTCTTACGAACATCCTATTCTACTAAGTGCTCGTTCAGATTGGTGTCATCATCAAATCCTATAGGCAAGACCACACTACAACAAGATCGGGTTTATAGGACACTCCCAAATTCTAAATGTCCTAATAGACCTCTTTATAGGACTTAGTTTATAGGACCAAAAAAATAAAGTGTCCTATCTAAGAGTGTTGTATTAAGTTTATATGACGTTTTTTTTATGTCGTAACAAGTTTTTTAGGACAATTTTAATATAAAGTGTCTTATTATCAACTTTATAGGACACTATTTGAAAAACTGTCATATAAAAACAAGTATCCTATAAAAAATTGAGTTTATAGGACAATTTCTCAAACGTGTTCTATAAAGTTGATAATGCGACACTTTGTATTAAAATTGTCCTTAATTTCTCAAAATTGTTCTATAAGACGCCCAAAAGCGTCATATAAACTTATTATAACGTCTTTAGATAAGACGTTTTATATTTTGGTCCTATAAATAAAGTCCTGTAAAGCGGTCTATTGAGACACTTAGAGATTGGGGTGTCCTATAAAACCAATTTTGTTGTAGTGCCAACATTGACATGCTACAACACATGCTATGTAATAAAGTCTGAAATTGTACTAGATATATGTGTCCCATCTTGGAACTGGTTCAACACAAACTTGATACGAGCACCTACACATGTATATTAAACTGAATAGTTCGGTGCAGAATGATTAAGAGACTCTGATGATATAGTGCAAAATGAAATATAATTGTTTGGTAATTGTTTACGATGAAATTAGAGCGCTTAATGGTTAAGGGAGACCCATGATACAAAATCATTCAGAGGGTTTTAGAACCATTAAGAGGCAGACTTTTTTTTGCCAAACAAAATTCACCTCTTAACGATTCAGAGATTGCCTCTTAATGGAACTATTAAGAGGTAAACAAACAACCCCTAACAATTTTATAAAGCCTTATGGATTTAGAGTACTAAACATAAGCACGAAACCTTACATGGTCTTGACAAGTCTAGCTTAAGGCAAAATTGCACGACGATGTCATGATCTTAAAGATCGAGGGGGGTTAGACACAGCAGAAACTTGCACCGAATATGGGATTGAGACTATGACTGCGACCGTACCAAATCCTAGCGGAAATGCCACAAGACCCTTCCAATTTATCGCTTACAACTACACGATCATGCCAACCGCATGCCAAAATCTGTTCGACTGTGCCAAATGTAGAAGTCATGACTCTGGGTTGGCTTGATATCGAACGGAAGATGTACTATTTCACAACACGAGGCATTAAGCGATTTGATTACGGTCAAAACAACATTAAGAACGAAGATAACCTAGAGCTATGATACCATGTTAGATTTGGTAAAGATGATCATCGTCAGACTTGAATATCGAAGCCGAAACTTTGAATCTAGATACGAGTCTGTTTTAGTGCTAATAGACACTACCATCGATCCTTCATTGTGCACTAAAAGTCAAATATTCAAGGAAACAAACCGAATGAACACGAACGGAGGCTTGTTCATGTTCATTCGTTTAACTTAACCGAACAAACGAACGAACACGAACGGTAAACGAACGAAAATCTTTGTATTCGTGTTCGTTCGTTTAGAAATAAGGTGCATTCGTGTCCGTTTATGTTCGTTTGTTAATATGCTAAACGAACGTAAACGAACGAACATAACCCAACGGGCTAAACGAACATAAATAAATATTATTTGAATTCAAAGTAAATAAAACAAAAGATTATATATTAAATTTAATATATAAACGAACGTAAACGAACGGTAAATGAACGAATGTTCACGAACATAAATGAACGAACAAGACTTTTGTTCATGTTCGTTCGTTTAACTAAACGAACAAAAAAAATTGTTCATGTCCGTTCATTTATTAAATAAACGAACTTCCCGCTGAACGGTTCACTGAACGTCCGATTCGTTTACAACCCTAATTCTTACAAGTATCAATAGACTAAAGTTAAATATATCACGACGACAAAGTAGAATGATTTTACAAACCTCCTTTTTTTCATGTCAAACTAAAACCTGATAATGACTGTTTTTTTATTATTAACCTACATATCCAACCCGCTATATGAGTCGACTAATTATAAGACGACTATCCGTTTTACGGGTAGCCCAGATTTGAACTTCCGTGACCACAAGAGAATAATGACTGTTTTGATCATCATGCATGTATGAAACTTTAAATATAAAAAATATTGGATCGTTTCAATTGAAAACGTATGTTTGTTACAACAAATCGATAGCCCATATAGCATGAGCCTTGTTTGCATGAATTCAAATTTGGTATTAGTTTCGAATAATTTGTTTAACGCAAAATTCTATTACATGTTAATCAGTTGTTTACACTACAATCCCTCACAGATCCGTCGTTAAAAGGGTCATCCGTCGCTGATCCGTCGCTGATCTGCAAAGGATCGGCGAGGGAATGAATTTTTTGCCAATGAGGGATCTGCGAGGGATTTTTTCCTTCGCTGATTTTCGTCGCTGATACCTTGTTTTCTACACTACAACAAAATCGGTTTTATATTCCCAAATCCTAAATCCTAAATGTCCTAAGGACTTATAAGACTAAAAAAATAAAGTGTCATATCTAAAGATGTTGTAATAAGTTTATATGACGTTGCAATAAGTTTTTTTTAGGACACTTTTAATATAAAGCGTCCCATTATCAACTTTATAGGACAATTTGAGAAAGTGTTCTATAAACTAATTTTTTATAGAACATTTGTTTTTATAGGACAATTTTTCAAATAGTGTCCTATAAAGTTGATAATGAGACGCTTTATATTAAAAGTGTTCTAAAATACTTATTACGACATCAAAAAACATCATATAAACTTATTACAACACCTTTAGACAGGACACTTTATTTTTTTGGTCCTATAAAGAGATCTAGTAGGACATTTAGAATTTGGGAGTGTCCTAAAAACCGATTTTGTTGTAATGCTAGTAGTGTTATAAGATCTGAATATGAAGTTTAAAAAGTTTTATATGTATTATAACCTTAAAATTCAACACTTTATAAACTAATAAGCAACATCTTAAGCTCAATAAGCTGTTACAAGAAAATATCTGAACAAGTTCGTTTGATAGGATCATGGAGCTGAATCTTCATAGCCTGTGAAATGTGTAATGCAGCAACTTCATCATTTGGTAGAGCTTAACTGCTTAAGCCAGGACTTGGATCTAATGAAGCATATGCAAGCAGCTCTGGGTTGCATTGTAGAATCTCCATCTCTTTTTCATCCAAATTCACCCATGCTTCTATTCCTTCACCACATTTTGTGTCCATTAGGTTGATAATGTTCAAGAACACCGGGTTGCCAATGCCGATAACACCAGTCATCCAGCTCGGTTTCCCCCAACCGAAATCGATATCGTAGAAACCCATCTTGCACCAGCTCGTAAAATTGAAGACGTCCGTGCTTCCTTTCGAGCTAGTTTCTCCCGTTTCTTTCATAAACTCCCGCATCGCGATATACCCTTTATCGCCTTGTGCGTTGTTCACAAACTCGACGTCGACTTTCGAAACACATTCGCGCACCCTTTTCGCCAAATCGATCAATGTAGTCTCGTCGTTAGCCGGGCACTCTGCGGTTGCGAACCAAATCACGTTACCGATCAAGTCTTTTGATGAGGGTGATGCGAGTTTTCTACGGATGTTCACGGTGTGGTTTATGCGAGACGGCTTCTGGAAACCACATGTTTGTTTGGATGCTGCCACGGCACACTTCCATAACAAAGCAGTTACCACCTCAACACGAGTAGGGTTTTGCACTCCATTTCTGGTTGCTTCAGCTTTTAGTGAGGAGATGGCATCAGAATCGAATAGAAACCTCTTCGTGCTGCACTTCCCTTCCTTTAACCACGACACACACACCTCCATTGATGCTTCTCTAAGCCACAAGTCGTTAGCAGGGAAGAGAGAAGGTGCAGTTAAGTTTGGATGCACGACTTCTGTAGCTCCACAAGCCATATTGGTCCATCCTTTTAGAAACGTGTAGAGTGCAGCTGCATCGACGATCTTGTGTGACATACACAACCCGATAGCGATCCCACCACACTCGAAGATGTTCACTTGAACATTGGTTACACGAGCACCTGGTCCAGACGCCTCGAAAGTAGGTCGAAACGGCAGCAACCCATCTGTCAACTTGAGGTCAGGATCATGCAGAAACTTGTCGAGACGGAGACGGACCAAAGCTATGGCGTAATAAGCACCAGCATCGTTACAATCAATAGAAATATCGTCTTTGATCGTTCCAGCAAATGGGTAAAACTGAGTCAAGGTTTTCGATAGAGATTCCTTCAAGGATGATGACTTTTCTTGGGCTTGGAAAATGGTGTCGCCGTTGCGGTTTTGGTAGTAGAAGATGACTGGTAGATAAGGATTCAATACGATCTGATCTAAAAGGGAAAGCTTGAAGGTTTTCAAGTGGTGTGGTGTTGGAGACGATGGTTTGATGGTCTCCTTGGAAATGATTTCAACTTCCATAGCAGAAATTATGGTTCTAGCTGGTCTAGAATAGTAGGGTAATTAATGCAAAAGACATGCAACTCCACAGGCCCTTTTATGATGAATTGGGTTTAAGGTTTCTTCACACAGCATCCTAAGTAATTATAGGTTCGGGTTGTTGAATGGTTTTGTGTAAAATTATTAAATGATCAAAATGAAATATAATTGTTTGATAATTGCTTACAATGAAATTAGGATTCTTAATGGTTAAGGGAGGCCTGAGATACAAAATCATTCAGAGGGTTTTAAAACCATTAAGACACAGACTTTTTTTATGCCAAACAAAATTCACCTCTTAACGATTCAGAGATTGCTTCTTAATGAAATTATTAAGAGGTAAACAAACAACCCCTAAGTTTAGGGGTTGTTTGTTTACCTCTTAACAGTCCTATTAAGAGGCAGCATCCGAATCGTTAAGAGGTAAATATTGTTTGGCAAATAAAAATTATGTCTCTTAATGGTTTTAAAACCATCTGAATGATTTTGTATCATGGGTCTCCCTTAACAATTTAGCGCCCTAATTTCATTATAAATATTTACCAAACAATTATATTTTCATTTTGTATTATATCATGAGAGGCTCTTAATCATTCTGACCACTTAATCATTCTGCACCAAATCATTCAGCAATTGTCAAACAACCCCTTAAATGTTCATTTAACAAGTTGGCGTTTGTAGAAGGTTAATTTGGTAACACGGATGGGCGGACATACCCACGGAGTATGGGTATGTCCATCCGCGCAACTAGGTCTGTTCATCGATTGACATCCATTGGATGTGAGGGAAACAAAACGAAACCGGTCCAATCATTAATTGGATGTTGGATTTTGCCAACAGATCCAATTAAATTAATATTGGATAATCGATCAAATACAATCCAATTCAGTGGATGATTGGATCAGTTTCATCAATTGGATACTTTTATTGGATATCCAATGGATGGTCTGATGGGAATGGATTCATCTAGTGTGTTGATTCAATCCAATTTTGTAACAATGATACAAAGTAATTGATCACTTCTAGTATGTGTTAAAACCAACACAAGGAAAGTTAAAAATTCAAAGCCTCACATAAAACAAATTCCAATTTAAGCATTTTGAAAATAAATTAAGTGGATGATAGTTGGATAATGGTTGAATGGACAATTGGATGGTCATCGGATGATTAATTGGATGTTGATCGGTTCGGTTCGGTTTTGGTCGGTTCTAGACTGCCATCCGAGAACTGACCGATCCAAATTGAATGTTGAAATTTTCAATCCGATCCGATACAATTACAATTGAATATCCAATTATAGTCAGTCGGTCCCAATTGGATCAGTTGATTTTATGCACACTAATTAGGTGTAATTTTTGTAGGGGATATATATAGTGAAACCATAAATTTTTTTAGAATGAAACCATAAACATTTTCATATGCTAAGTATATATATCCTTACTAGAAAACAAACTTTCACTGATTGTATACTACCTACGGCCAAAAAATCCATCGGTAACTTTTGACGGATCACCGATGGATTCTCCACTACACATATACGTATATCCTGCATGCATACGTACATCCACTAAGGTCAAATTCGTTAGAATCACTAAAGCATCAAGAAGTTTGAATAGTTCATTAAGAGTCGATGTAACCCATCAAAGTACAATACTTTTCATAAAGAGCCACTGAAATTCATAAGGCCCGATACATTTCATTAAATTCCACTTAAGACCATAAAGGCCCAATCAAGTTTGTTAAGAACCATTGAAACTCATGAATGCCTAATATAATAGTCACTGATGCACATGAAGACCCAATGAGGTTAATTAACGGTTGTTGAGTCCAATACGAACGGTCAAGATCCATTAGAGTCCATTAAGGACTGTTGAAGCCCATCAAGACCCAATCAAGTTTATTATAAACCGACCACTAGAGGTGCTCATGGGTTGGGTTGATCGGGTTGAACACATTTGAACAACCCAACCCAATGCTTGCGGATTGGAAAAATCTTAACCCAACACAACCCAACCCATACGGGTTGGTTGGGTTGATACTTTGGTATATTAAAATATTTTTCTAACCTTGAATATGTTATTTATCTACTCATAATTTCTTTTTCATCATCAACCATTTGATACAACTTATCCATAATTCTTACGTATATCACATTCAGTTAATTTTCTCAATTTACATATATATGTTCACAGTTACTGAACATATATATGAATGAGTTATATAGAGATATGAATAAATAGAAAATATGTGTATATGAAAAGCATACATGATAGTGTAATTGTACAATGTGTATATCAATAGAAATTCAACAATCATATTAAATTCAAGAAATAAAAGGATACAGGGTTCATCGGGTTGAGTTGGGTTCAAATAATAGTAACTCAATATCAACCCAATACATACGGTTTGAAAATTTTACAACTCGATTAGACATCGGTTTGCTTCGGATTGGGTTATTTCATGTTGGGTTGGATTGGGTTGATCGGGTTTTTGAGTACCCCAACCGACCACTATAAAGCTCATGAAGGTTAAAATTTAATTAAATTTTTTTAATTAAATACCTAACAATGTTAGAGAGAAGAGAGGAGATAAAATACCTAAAATGTCCTTGCACTAAAATTTAATTAAAAATCAACAAAAATATAAATTTTCTAATTTATTTATTGATTTGTGGTTGAGATTGGATCTCACGGTTACCACAAACTAGTCAGTTCTCCCTTGAATGTGCATATATATATATATATATATATATATATATATATATATTGTAACACCCTCAGTTAATTTTAAAAAGAGTGACTAATTTAAATTTTCAAATAGTACATCGTATAAAGGATAAATCTCTCTCTCTCTCTCTCTCTATATATATATATAGAGAGAGAGAGAGTTTGTTTCAAATGCAACTCATCACATTTGTACAACCAATGCAACCCAATAAATTGAAATATTTATGGAAATGAGAGTTCATTAATTATGATAAATACTTTATATTAAGAAACAATCAAAAACTTTTATGAAATTACATATTCATCATACTAAATGGACGGTTGAGATTGAGTTGTATTAGTTGTACAAATATAAGAAGTTGTATAATAACCTACCCCTCTCTCTCTCTCTCTATATATATATTATACATATATATATATATATATACACACACAACACACATACACACACATATATATATATATATATATTTGTATGTGTATAAAAATATATTTTCTGATTGATAAATTAAAAAAAATCAGTTTTATATAAAATTGCGTGATAAAATAAAATCTGAAATCTCATGGGGAATTGATTAGACACAAGGTTTTTAGAAAACTAAGGACATGGTTTTGCAACTCATTTCACGACTTTAATTTTTTATTCATCGATTGTTTAAACAACGTGGTATCTTATTTTAGATCAATATGATCTATTAAATGATTACAGATACGTGAACATAATAATAAAGTATATTTCAAATAAATGAGTCGGTATGGTTTTTTAACAGATAAATTCTTGTCTCTTTTTATTGACATTGCGATATTTTTTAAATATAAAACTATTATATACGACAAATGGGTTTAAATAACTTTGACAGGTCTAAACTCTACCCTACTGTAAAGTTGGAATCAGCAGCAGACAGTAAGGTGACGTTTGGTTTGCAGATTCTGGAGGAATCTGATGGAATTTGAATGTTGAATTTTGTTGACCAAATTCTATTCCATTGTTTGGTTCATTCTTTTTCACGAAAGGAATCTTCAAAATTCTACAAATTCCACAAATAAAAAAATTTAACATTCCTTACTAACTACATGATATTTTGATGGAATGAAATCTCTATCTTCATTATAATAAATATGTCATTAACCTATTAGACTCTAATCTCATAAAACTCAATATGACCATCGTTGACCACCTCCAACCACTATTGATCTGAACCACCGACTACCACTGATCTGAACCACCGCCGACCACTACCGATCTAAACCACCGCTGATCTGAACCACCTGCCGACCACTAACGATCTAAACCACCGCCGACCACTACCAATCTAAACCACCATCGGACACCGTCGATCTGAGCTACCACTGATCTGATTCACCGTCAATTTGAACCACCACCAACAACCGCCAAATGAACCACCATGCACCACAACCGATCTGAACCACTGTCGACCATCGCCATTTGAACCACCATAGACTACCATTGATCTAAACCACCGCCAACTACTACCAATCTGAAGCACCGCCGATCTAAACCACCAATGACCATCATCGATCTGAACCACATTCGACCATCGTCACCTGAACCACAAAGGACCACCATCGATCTATATCACTGCCAACCACCGACGACTACCATTGACCCGAATCACCGTCGGATACCGCCGACCACCACCGATTTGAACAACCACCACTGCCACTGCCTATCTGAACTACCGCTGACCACCTCCATTTGAACCACTGCGGACCACCATCGATCTGAATCATTACGGATCACCACCATCTGAACTACTGTAAACCACCGCCGACCACCGTCAATATAGTAACGTTGTTTGTCTTATAATTATATTTGGGTTGTGTATTTTATATTGTTTTACATATCAAATAATTATTTTATTAACATATTTTTAGTTTTAAAAAAAGTAAAATTTTCAAAAAAAAGACATTTTGGTCATTTACCAATATCTTATTCCAATTTTAAACTTACATTATGTGAACCAAACAGACAGATTCCATTCCAATGTCTGCCAACCAAACAGATGGTCAAACCTGACAACATTCAATTTCAATTCCTTCAAAGTCAAATTCTTTTAACAGATTCCATTCCACCCAAAAACATTCTGCAAACCAAACGCCACCTAAATATCTTTTTTATAAGCGTTTTATTTTGGCTCCGCTTAGAAAAAGTCAAGCAGACATAACTCATCTGCATGAAGCCAAAATCGTCAGTAATCGTCAGTCAAATAACGTTAGACGAAAAGAAATTTAATATTATTTTGTGATAAAAGTTGTTTTTATTAACAGCAACCATGTGGCTCACAGATGAGTCAACCATATCCTGCTCGACTATCAATTCATTCGTAAATTAAAAATAATATCGGTTGTGTATAAACTTGTCAAATTATTGTTAGTTTAGTTTCGATATTATTTTTTATTAATATAATTTTAAAAAGATATTTACATAATATAATGAGATATATTTTGATTATAATGTTTTATTTTTATTTTTTGGTTACGTTGATATAATATAATTTTATGTGATTTTGAGAAAACAATTTCGTTTTTATTTTTAAACAAAATACAATTTTATAGTTATCATAAAAATTTATATATATATATATATATATATATATACTAGAAGAGTACTCGCGCAATGCAGCAAAACACATCTCGATTTTAATGTTCTATTTTATTATTTGTCTATGTCAATATTATAATACGATTTTATGTGTTTTTAATAAAGCAATAATGATTTTATTTCTAAATAAAATATTAATTTGAAAATAAAATTGAAAAAAATATATCAATGTTAATATCAAATCAACTATTTAATAGTTTTCATTTTTTT